TCAATCACAGATCTCCCACACCTTTTAGACCAATTCATTTCCCTGACTTTCAAATATATTGTGATTACTAGATGAGGATTTATTTGCACTCAAAAAGAGACAAATCAATATTTTAGAGCTGGTCTAATCTATTTATATTTCCAGGTTGACTTTAGGGGCCTCTATTTACAATACTCCATATACCTAAACTCAGATAACAAGCATTTAAATAGTAGTTAACAGTTTTGTTTTTTTTCTGTTAGCATCAGAAGCTAAAACAGGCAGCTTTGTCCCGGGCCTATTTATATCCGTGGTCCAAGCGTCACGGCAGCCACCTGGCAAGGTGCTTGAGCTCAATGGTCTGCCACGTTCACGGCTCACTGTGTTCCACTCATTAATTAGAAAATGGGAGGCTGAATCCAGGTTATTAAGCATCTTTACTGACACAGATAGAGAGAAATGAAGCCCAATATCGCCATTCAGCCGCAGAAGCGTGCGGCAGAGGGCTAATGTGTCTCGACGGAGGCCGTCAAGCTTAGAGGTGAAACGGAATGTTCCATTCTACTGAATGTCTGGGAACATTCTATGGGAATTTGTGTTTCTCCGTACAAGCCCCATGTAATAGGTTTTTGTTCTTAAAGAGACTGTGGGTTACTGTGAAATCAATGTTAAGGAAATGTTCAGAATGTCTTTTTATCAGCCTTTCTTGTTCACAATCAAATGTTATGACACTCTCAAATGATATTTTTTTTTGCCAAAACTCTCCACAGGAAAGATAAATCTCAATTATGAGACTGAGATTAAATTTTGAACTGATCTAAAAATGTCTCAAACTGTGCTTGGATTTCCAAAAATACCAAAGTCTGCCAAGAAATTATGACAGTATGAACTAAATATCTGTAATATTCATAGGTATTTGTGCATAATGTTCACATAGATTTTGGTCCTGTTGGATATGCAGTGAAAGGTACAATATATAAAACGGATAGTTCCAATCCTTGATTCTGATTGGTCAATAGCTGTGCTTTATTCATGATAAAACACGGCTATGACCGCTTCACCCAACGGTTCTATTTATCACTGCGTAATACTGTAGTTCCTATGTTGTTTTTATTTGAGCTTTCATGCATATTACACATTGGTGCTGGTCACGGTCAGGGACTATTTTTTTTATAGCGGAAGGAAGGCTTTTAGTGATTTTACTTCATGAAAGTTGCACTAATACATATTTTTATTACTTTAATATGTTTATTATTAATATGTTTTTTTAATTAATTAATTAATTAATTATTAATATGTTTTTGTTACCGTTTTATAAAAGCAATAAGGTACTTGAGGCAAGTGCTATATTGTGAATAAATAACGGCTGAAGGGGTTTCAGCTTCGTGTCGTGCCTAACAACGCCCTTCAGCCGTTACTTATTCACGATGCAGCACAGAATCTCGTATCTTATTGCTTACATTGATAGCATCTGAAGCATAACACTATTAGGCATGTATGCATGCACAGCTTAAGAAACAATAATGTGCATTAAGATTATTGAAATGCATTTTCCTAATTTCACAATTTATCAATAATAGATTGTGGCTACGGTTTCAAATTTTCATATTTTGTAATGTAATGCAATGGCATTCATACATTTTTAAACATGACTTAAGTGTCTAAATATTTTCTGGATCACTGAATGCCACATTCTTAGGTTTAGGATAAAGTAAGATTATATAATTTCCAGTAGAAGTCCCTGCAGATTTGGTTGATGGCAAGAGTTGGTCAATAAAACATTCATACCAAATTAAAGTTCCCGCAAGGGTGTCAGAGAACATGTACGACTTTAACATATCCAGCGGACACCATTTAAACATCTCAAAACATGTTAACACCCCTTAGAGGTCATCATTGATCTGGGAGGACCAGATCCCCTTTTCTGGCCCTTTATAGTCCTGTGAATAACATGTTTTTGATCAACTCCTTATTCACAGAATTCATTATGACTCCAAACTACATCACGTAAGTCTGTAGACGTGCAGTGCGTGTTTATGTAGGCGTGTTTAAGTAGACCATAGACTCTTCAATGTTCATCTGGGTTTATTTCACTGTGGCTGCCAATAGCTTACATCATGGCCTTTGCCTTCTGAGACTGAACGCACAAAGGCCATTTTTTCAGGGTGGGTTGCAAACATCAGGGACAATCAGTCATGTGTTTTTTCCCCATGCCGAAATACATCACAGGTCTGACTGCCTCTTTACAAAACTCACCCAGCCATGTTTACAGCTGTCGGACTAGTCAATATGCACTGTGAACAAGGAAATTGTGTATATTTGGATATGCAAGGACACGACAGGCCTGTATAACCTAAAAGAAGTCTCCAGGGAGGTTTTCACGTTATTCATGTCTCTCTGAATGAGTGTTTCTGTCCAGACCAGACACGTTCATCCTCAGGAGTCCCTTGTTTCTCCAGTGACATAAGATATATCTCTCATTTTCTGCTTCCGCTAACACCAAATGACAGTGCTTAAACTCTTCATTATAGGTTATTGATTGCTTCCCCCCCATGGGAACGGTCTCAAATATAAGTGTACATATCACAGCAAGTTATTATCCTTCATCTTGACAGTTACTGTTTCGTGCTACAACATTATGTTCTTAACAGTAGATCGTATTGTTCTTATTTTAGTTTAAACCATCATCCATCTGCTGATGGCTTATGTCCACATACTTTTGGCTAAGTAGTGTACGTCTATAAAAGAAAAGTATTTTGATATTGCATTTAAGCTACTGTGCCCATTTAAACCTTAAGGTGTCCTTTAAATCTTTTCCCCATGTATGTGGGTTTAAAAAAAACAACCTCAAACATAACCTTCAATTAAGACATGATGCAAATCAAATCAAAATAATGTAATTTATTCAAAATCTCATTACAAATTTTGATTTAAAGAAACAAAAAAAGGTATTTAAAAATCTGAAAAGTACAAAATACTGTAACAACATATTTAATGAGGAAATGTACTACAATCCCAATATTTAAGATGTACGAAATAAAGGGTTAGTTCACCCAAAAATGAAAATTCTATTCCCACTTTCATGTTGATCCAAATTTGTAAGAAACACAAAGATATTTTTTAAAAATCCAAATTTTCTGAAGAGACCCGATGACTTTATTTGATGAACTGATTGAATGTAGGCTTTTATTCACATATAAACATTCATCAACATCATCAGTTGTGGTAAACAGAAGCTCAAGCTTCGAAATACGAACAAAAGTCTTACGGATTTGGAACAACTTGAGGGTGAGTAAAATTTTTGGGTGAACTCTCCCTTTAAGTACTTAAAAAATAAGTAAAGTAAATAAATAATGTAAAATTACAAGCGCTGTCACATAGACAAGTAAAATTTCTTAATGGTTGAACTATTTCATTATGTCTGTCAGGTAGTCATGACAATCTATGTTTTGTTTTGTTTTTTGGCTGTGGGGGAGGGGATACTAGTAGCATCAACTGCTATTATATGTGAAACTTTTGTACTCATTTGACTCACTGCAGCAACTGCCCCCGTAAGCCTGAATTTCATAAATCCAAAAACTAAATAGAATAATATTCATTAATGATTCAATACTGTATATTTCAATTCTGCTCAGACGGCTTGATAGTAAAACTTGATATGTCCCACAGCAGATGGGTCATGAAACTTTACTTTCTTTTTGAATGGTAAAAACATCCCAGCATCCCTCCTGCCTGGTTCACTCTTACAGCTATGGATGAGAGATTGATAGCTTAATGCTTTCAGCTCATAAGAATCTTACTCAGTCATTTTATGTAACAATAGAGCTCTCCTCAGCTGTTGTATACAAAAAGGCAGTAATAGAAGAGGTTCATGGAGAGATCGATACATCCCTCATTTATGGTAGCAACAAAATAGTGACTAACAGAACAGAATAAATGTAAATCCATTTGGCAAAGGGGAGTAAAGTTAAATTCCTATTTGGAAACTCTAAAAACATTGCGCCGTATCTAATCTCACATGCTTTACAAACATTAGCTGATCAATCAATTGATTCTTCTTATTGCTGGTTCCAACATGACATTGATATCACAGTAACCCACAAATAGACGACAACTAATTGCACTGATCAACGATTCTACTTAAATTTTGATGGATCTTTTGTAGGCTATGGAGGACTAAAAATAATAATCATAATAAAAACATCTGTATAAATACAATTCTAAATAATTTACTTTTTAATCGCACTAAATCAATTTTATTTGACTGCAACTAATTTGAAACTTTTTCGATGTATTTGTCAATTTGAATAAGTATTTTAATGAATGCACTGATCGTTTTCTTCAATTGACACTCATCCACTGTAGATCACTAGCACAGTTAACTAACTTAGCCTAGCTTTCAGGGTAGACCGCTAATACAATTTAGCAACTATTCAATAGAAGAGACTATAATAGCCATGGACTCATTACTACAACAACAGCTACGTTTATACACATTAATATAAAAAAGGCTTATAGGACCATTGGCTGCTGAAGTAAATGTTATTTTATTCAAGTCCCAGTTTTACTATATACTTTGTGTTTGTCAGTTTAAGTAGTAATTACCCTGCTGGAAAACAAACAGCTTAGACAGACCTACTCATCTCATCTCCTAGACCGGCCTGACCAGACTAGGAGAACATACCTTTTACATAAGCTCTAAAAATGACTCGAGGCTTGATTTTCAGCAGGGTAACAAAACATTTTTTTGTGATGTTTTAGACTTTGAGATCTGTGTAGTTGCTAAACCATTAAACCAATAGCGATAAACAAATGTGAATTGAGATTCAATGCATTAGCACCTCAGAAATTGAATCCAACATCAGTCCTGCTTCAAAATCTCTACTTACTGTAGGAGTGACTAGCCTCCCCTTTCTACATTTGTGAGACCTTTGTGCTTCTCCTCTCACTGTTCAGAATCTAGTTGTTATCTGCTCAGCCTAAACTAAAGATTGACTATCTTTCGGTTTCACCCTCAACAGGGAAGAAGAACTCACTCCTGCTCCAGAAATTTCAGAAGGACCTGAACGCCGGCGTCTTCAACACTCAGGAGAACGAGCTGCTGAAGCAGATCATCCGGCAGGACCGAGAGATGGTGATGATGGTGGATCGGAAGCAATCGGTCACGGGGATGAACTCCACGCCGATGTCTGGAAACTCCATCATTAACTCTCCCGCTCAGCCACCGTTCACTACAGCGACTGCTATTCTTGGGAACAACCAATTACAGCAGCAGGCCGCCCCACTAAGCTACAGCACCTCCGCCACTATAACCCCATCAGGCCGCGTGCCGCCCTCACAGGGCGTGACGTTTTCGGCGCCAAGCGTTTCTTACGGTAACTTGAGCACCTCTTCCCAGAATCCCCCTACGCCCTTGCAGCAGCCGGCAGGGGCGATCATGTCCCCTTGTTCGTTCACCACGTCCATCTGCAGTCCCCCGGTGCAAACCCCTATAGCTAGCCGAACATTCCAGTACGGATCGCCGACGGCCTCCCAACTGTCCCTTGTACAGCAAGCCTTACCCCAGCAGTCCTCTCCCGTCTCCATACCACAACAGCCGGCTCAACAACAGCCGCAGCAATCGCAAGGGGCGTCCCCTCAGAGGAGCGATGTCCACAAGAGCACGCAGGCGCTCCAGTCAGGCAGCCTGAGCAAGGACATACGCCACCTCTCTGCCTCACAGCCGTCCCTGCCCCACGAGGCCTCATTGGCTGCCCGAGCACACCCCACATCAGGCGAACCACTGGCTTCCATTCAGCCACCCATGGGATCCACGGCAGGCGTCCAGGCCCCAGGCTCCGTGCTGCAAAGCGGCATCCGCACCAACGTCCCACAGAGGGTTGCCCTTTTCCGGCAGATGTCATCGGGCGCCATACCGCCCGTGCGCATGGCGCCTTCTAGTGCCCAGCACAGGGATTCCACGGGCTCCAGGAGAGAGTCGGCAGTCTTAAGCAGTACAGAGACGGAACAAGACAAGATGCGGTTCGCATCGAATTTATGATCCCGTTTTACTTTTTTCACATTCATTTTTTTTAAAAGAGATTTTGATTGATTTTTATGGAGAGACAAAAAAATGGGGGAAAAGACTTGTATTTTTTTCTCCAACTTCCTCTGAAAAAAAAAAAAAAACCTCATAGCTACCCTGTACAGAATTTCCTTGTACTATATTTTAGACACACTTCCCCTTCAACTTACGAATGTATATTATACAATATATATATATATATATATGTGCAAATCCAACTAGAATATTTGGCATTGTCCATATGGGAAAAAAAAAGAAAAACTCTAGTATAAACGCAAGTCTTCCTCTCTAACATATGTGACTATAACGTGTCTGAAGATGTTCTTTTCTGTTGACGTTTTCCTTATCGTTTTTGATTACGGGAATGCAATGATGTTTTTGAATGTGTTTTTTTTTTTTTTTTGTTCTTGACAAGAAGAATTTCAAAACAAGTCCAGCATTCAGCAGCTTTTGGCATCACTGTGGAAAATGTTTGCGCAAATCGAACCTGGGAAATACTGACAAGTTTTAAAAGCACATCTACAAACTTTTACCCGCTGGAAAAAAAAACAAAAGATAATATCAGAAAATGCTCGGCGCACCACATCAAGGTGTAGTTTCGACATCTGCAATACTTCGTGTTGTGCAGTAATTGCGTTGCGTTTCAAGGCAGCCTTTGTGCATTAAAGGGAATAAATGTATTTTTTCTGTTCGTTTTATTTTATTTCAATTTAGTTTATTTTTACGAAGGATGTGTGGTCAAATCGGATGGTTTTTATTTTCTATATCTGATTTCAGAACGAGACAGACATTATGAAATGTCACTTAAAGACTGTACATTTACACTATTTATAAAACTAAAGATTATCACCATTATGCAATAGACTGTGATATGAAGATTACCTATATGTGTGTTGTACATAGTTTTGTAGAACTAGTATTTACAAAAGTAATGTGTGGTGCATTTCTCAAACATGGCAATGTCTTATCTCTGTCAGCCGCCTGGGTAATGTCTATATATATATATATATATATATATACAAATGGTAATATGTGACTGACAACAAACATCAGAAACAATCATTAGAGATAAGAAAACCTTAATGCAAATAGTAGCACTATACTGTAGGTAGCACTAAAGACAATATATGTATTATTTATCCCCCCCCCCCCCCCCCCCCCCCCCCCATATTTAACGACTGTGAAAAACATTCTAGCGCTTTAAGTTATGTATTTATTTTCACTGTATGTAACGTTAGTTTTTACAAAAACATCAACCTTTAAGTCTAACCTTTATGCAACATCTGTAAACCAATGGCACTGCAGACACACACAATTATCCAAGTGAGCAGCAGAAACTAATAATTATGTGAATCCAACAAAGTATCAGAGAGAACAGATGGATAAATATAGATGTTCAAAAAAAGAAAAAACAGAAGCTGCTTTGCATTAAGGTTTTTATCTCTCCCGTTCGTTGAATCATGCAGTCTGGGGCTTAAGACTTTGAGGTGGCAGTAACAGATTTAACAAGGGGTAACAAACAGTGACTTCGATGACCATTTTGAATTTACTCTTACAATACTGCAACCGAACTTCGGTAGAATTAAGCAAAAACTCATCTGACCTGTCCAAAGTCTCCAAGCCCCCTTGCACAATGTTTAAAAGAGGACAATACTCAGACAAAACCACCACTTGTGTCAGTACTGTACCAGTGCAAACCCCATGCAGCGACCATGAACGCATGCATTGTCACGAATACTTCAAAAGAGAAACTATTTAAAAAATGTTGACGTTTAAATGTATTGTGAGATTATGTTTTTTGTTTATTGTCTGCCTAGACGTTCTCTGTGCGTATCAGAAACATTGAATTTTCACGAAAAGGACATTCTTAAGTATTTGTGCCTAAACTATAGCCATGTTTCATCCTGTTCCTTTCATGAGTGTGACTCGTGTGTGTGTGTGTGTGTGTGTGCGTGCGCTCGCACACGCGTATGTAAACAAGTGTATGTGTGTGTGTTCTATGTTTTCCAATGAGAACAAAAAGCAATGGGAACGGCCAAACGTATCGGAGCAAAAAGAAAATGGGATCGCAGCGGTCTTTGCTTGGCACATGTGAAAATACCGAGTATATCATTCGCATTTAAAAGACTAATCAGTATCGACTGGAATCACGAGAGATCCTGGGAATGGTTAAATGTGTGTGGAACTTAACTTTATAGCCACTGATGTTGTGTGGAACGAAACTGGCCAAAGTGAAACATTTCAATACAAACTTTCATTGTGAATTGCACTTTCTGTTTAAAGAGAGAGAGAGATCTAGAAGCAGAAACATATACTGTACATTAGTTGGTTAACTAAAGGGGTTAAATACAACAAAAAGTGCTTAACTCCTGCTATGCCATAGTGTATAGAAACTAGTGTACAGATAGGATGGTCAGCGGTACTCTGAGTATCTGCTTTTCATACTGTACTTGCCTTCGGAGGGGAATGCTTCCCGTGTTAATGTGCTTTTTCCTCTCAGCTTTAAATACTGTTAGAATTCTGGAGTGGAATATGAACATGAAGGAGAGACGCTTATACAACAATACACTTAAAAAAAAAATTTTAAAAAAAAGAGTGAGAGAGGCTCCTGTCACTTTCTAAGGAGGTGTTTAAGAAAACCAGCACATGTCTTTGTATGTTTGTTTGTTTTTATTTATTTTTATCATATATTTGTGTTTGTGATTGGAAATGAACAATGCAAAAGAACAAGAGGGAAGGAGTGATGTTTTAATAAAGGGAAAAAACTAAATGTTTGGTTTGCAGCCTCTACGATTCAGGTGAAATCATTTTGTTTAAAATGTTCAATGATGTGATGCAAATGATGGAAGATTCTAGAACAGGCCTCAAACTCTTAATCTCAGCTGATTTTGTTTTTCCATTATGCTCGTTCATGCACACCAATGCTTGGTTTAAAAAAAAAAAAGTAAAAAAAAAAAGCAGGTACAAAAGTCATTCAATAAATAACAAAACATGAACAATTAGTTACTTGATCCTGAATAAGAGAAAGGTAAATGTATACTTTCTTACACCTATATGCAGACAAACGGTGTTTGTCAAAAAATATTTTGATTTTCATTTTTTTTTTCTTTGTAAATAATAAACCTTTAAAGCATAGAGAGAAAATAAAAGAACTATTGCCATTTACCACCAGGCTTCTGTGTGTTTTTGTGACGAGTTGCGCAATTACCTGTTACCTCACATAAATGCATCTCTATAGCACGCATTGTGTTTTATCATGCAATTTATACGCGAAAATGAGTTTTTACGTGCATATGATGCGCAGTTTTCGCGTCCATTTGATACGCAGTTCATTTGCATGTAATAGGCTACACACACATCCCACACCACTAACCTACCCTAACCAACCCATGTGTATCCTATGCATGTAAAAACTCATTTTCACGTATAAATTGCACAATAAACGCACTGCATGCTATAGAGACGCATTTAGTGTGATCGGGTTGACGTTTCACAACAAGACACTTTTCAGTTGTTTAATCTACACATTGATGGCCTAAGACACGAAACAAGCGGTATTTTTATTGTTTTTACCTCTTGTAACCAAAGCCACGTCCAAGTGATCTGAGGGCGCGGGCGCTTCAGTCTGCATATAAGCGCCGGAAGTGATCTGTTGTGCGGTTGTGGAAAAAAAAAAAATTCAACGCTTTCTGTTGATATATCGATATCGTCTTCCATTGCGATTTCCTGTATAAATGTTTACAACTTTAAACAAAGTTAAAGGTAACCGAAATCTTTGTGTAAACAATGAGTGACATACATACACGCACGAGAGATCACTTCCAGTGCTTTCCAGCCCTCAGAAGTGTCTGTGCCCTCAGATCACTTGGGCGTGGCTGTGGTTGCATAAGGTTAAAACAATATAAATACTGTTCGTTGAGGTAATCTAAAACATATCAAAAATTTATTTCAAAGTGAACTATCCTTTTAAGGATAGGCTGTTCTGAATTGAGCCACCTACGCCTAGCAACAAACAATCACTCAGAACACCTCAGAACTTGCAATGCTCTTGAAACACTTCTACTAACACAGATTAATAAATCCAGATATTGGTATTAGATGTTCATCACTGAACCAATCAGATGGTTGCTGCTTTACAAACAATTGACAACAACAGAAGAAATCCATCCACTTCATGTAAACAGAAAATCAGTCCAATCTCTTAAGACAATTAAAGAAAAGAAGATCCTTACTGAATTAGTTGTCTTCCCTTGTACTAGAATCCTCCATTTTGTGTCCAAAAGTCAAATAAATCCATACATGATTATTCCACAAAAAAAAAAAAAAGGTAAATTCCAGGTCACATGAGAAAAAAGTCATTCATTTTCTGTATTTGGAGAACAAAAAAAAAAAAAGAAGCAATGTCTTAACACAGACTGGGCAACAAGCTCAAAACAGGTACATCATCTTCTTCTTTTTTTTCTTTTATTGGCGGTTGGCAAACAACTTTTAAGTGTGCATTACTGCCACCTTCTGATATGGAGTGTGGATCAAAATAGCCTTTCCTCACTAAATAAATATATAAATACATAAATCCATAATAAAACCAATAAATAACTTTATAAATATCTAATAAAATTATTAATATCCACACATTATCATTAAATACAACTTTCTAAGACAACTAAACGTATATCCTTCTACTAAGCCCTGTTTTACTCAAAGACAAATATGGCTCTATACCCTACATGACCTGAGTTCATTTGTAATAGTTCCTTAATTTCAAATCTAATCTTTTTATTTTCTAAACCAGTTTTTCAGCCTCATCCTTTCCTCCTTATACTTATGACAATTAATAATAGCATGCTCTACTGTGTCATTAATATTACAGTCTTTTCTTTTTTGGTATGTTGCTTTAAAATAGCTTAGAAAAGAAGGAATTTTATTGAAATTAAACTAAATGTCAAATGAAACCATTTGAATATGTTACAGACTTATAGATGGACTCTTTGGCTGACAGTTTCTTAGTGTAAAGGTCATCTTGCTTTGGCCTTCTCTTTCTGTAAAAGTAGGCTATAGAGATAAAAAAAAATTGTGTGTGTGACAGTGACAGTGAGAGAGAGTGAAATATAAATTTGGAGTGAGGAACAGAGAGGGAATGTCAGTGACTCCTGTGGCAATATGAAAAATCATCTCTTTGGGATGGTCAGGATTTCCATTCATTACCCTTCGTTGCAGTTATCAGTCATGAAGTATTCATACATTCTGACAGAAGCCTCCCACAGTTGGTTCTGATTAACAGGACACCTTACGCACAGTTTGGATTCATAATTCACACTTAACAATAGGGATTATAATACTTCTGAATGCTTAATAAGTCAGAGATAGAATGAAATATTTGCATCTCTTCATATGCAAATCCTCTACAGAGTTTGATTTACTAACCCAAACTGGGTTATTAATCAGGAATTCATTATACATGTTAAAGTATATTCATCACATGAAATTGCATTCTGTAGATATTTGTGTTTGAAACTTACTTCACAACTGTTTACATAGTATGAATATGGGTATGAATGAAATTTGGACGAACTACATCCGCCATGTTGTTATTGTCATGTGACCTACGGTGTCAGTTCACTTCCATTCATAAATCCTCTCCAGTGGCCTCATGGGATACTAAAGTGTCCATTGAATGTGCGCTTCATACTCTCGCCGGAAGTAGTAGGTCTTTTTAAGATACTTTTTAATTCACTTTTTTCATTATATTTTATTTTTAAAATGTATTCTGACATACTTTGTTGGCTTACTGTTTTTGAAGTATTCGATTTCAGACACAGTGCTTATTTTAGAATATAAAGCGTTGCACATGTCCGACATTCAATCTTTAAATTTGAAAAACATTACAATTATTATTAATATAAAAGATGATAGCATATATACAAAGAGTGAAACAAAAGTAAACCAGTTTAATTGTATATTATTCAGTTCCAGACCATTTTAAATGTTACCTTTAGTTTATTTTATTTCTGTTTAATTTTGTTATCAAGTCCACAGAAACTTTACAACACGTGATAATGTAGTAATACATTTTTTGTTTAAGTAAAGGTTTGAAACAAGCCATCAGCATCACTAATTCACATCTAAATTAAAGTAATCAATCCACATCCCAGTAATTCTGTTTGAATATAAATGATTTCAAACAAATTCAATAGATGTGTATGAATGTAAATTTACACACACACACACACACACACACACACAGGGATAAAAGAAAAGCTGACAGGCAAGCTGAAACATGAGATCTGAGCAAAGCAGTGACAACATTTCATGTCAATTCAAAAACACCATAGCGTGGCTTCCCAGAAATCACAGCTAATCCTTTCAATAAATATAATGAATCAGACTGAAAGTAACACATCTCTACACACCAAATGTTTTTATTTACCAAGGAAGATTTCCAAATCCAATGGCTGACAGTAACCAGAAGTTTTATTCTAATTCACATATTACTTCACAGAGGAAATGAAACAGCAACACAAAACCAGCCAAGGCGAAAGACCCTTGACATAAGCCAAATCCGTCCATTCAGAATTCCAAATGGCTCTTAATGGAATTCATGCAAAGCTGAATACAGATGAATCCATTAAAGAGGACCATGACATGGAGATGAGCAGGATAATGAAGTGCATTCACATGCTTACAGAAGAACACACACACACACAGAGCAGGTTTAAAGTTCAGATTATGCATGGTCAGAGCAAAAGATGGGGTATAGGTCAAAAAATTCAAAAATTGTTAAGATGACAGCTTTTATAAATCCATAAATGTGATTTCCCAGAATAACACAAAGTCTGAACATATCTACGTATTTATTTTGAGCAGCATTAGGTGTACTGTGTCCCATCCATGTCAATGATGGAGGAAAGAAATTCCTACATATTTGGAACAACATGAGTGTGGGTCAAGTATGTCATTAATCTTCATTAGGGTGAACTAACCCCATAAATTGTGACAAATTAACAGTAGCACATATTAAAATACTATTTCAATTCGATTTATTATTAAATGTGACTTAATGCTGTTATTAAAACCTGCATGTGTCCTATAATCTGAATCTCATCCGATCAACCTTTAAAACATCAGCAAAAACAGGAAGGTTTCACATGACACAGTTCAGATAGAATTTCTTTCAATTGTGCCAATTCAGCATATTTTCTTTATGTTCCAAAAGTTATTTAAAGGGATACTCCACTTTTTTGGAAATAGGCTCATTTTACAACTCCCTCAGGATTAAACATTTGGGTTTTACCATTTTCAAATCCATTCAGCTGATTTTCTGATATTTAGAGGAATATCAGTAACCAGAGAGTTTCTGGTTTCATTGACTTCCATAGTAGGAAAAAAAAAATATATATATATACTATGGAAGTCAATGAGACCAGAAACTGGCTGGTTACTGATATTCTTCTAAATATCAGAAAATCGGCTGAATGGATTTGAAAACGGTAAAAACTCTGTTTAACTCTGGGGGAGTTGATGATTATCCAAAGGCAAAAAAAAAATAAATTCATTTATTTATATTAATGCCATTAATGGTATTACATTATATTAATCATGCATTTTGCGGAGGAAGATTGTTTTAGTTGAGTTTCAGCTATGTGTGACAGCGTGGAAGAATATGACACAATAGATAATGCTTTACAATGAGCTCTGTTGGAGGTAAATTAAATACTTTACTCACGTGACAAGTAATAAAAACACCATCTCTATGTCGCTTTTACTCAAATCCCACAGTTCTTGCCATCTCCGAAAAGCCAAGCCAGATTCTCATTGTATTACAAGATAGCATTTCTTTTTTTTTTTTTTTTTTGCCAGCAATCTCTCCTCTGTTGACCATTTTTTAAAGTGGTGATTCCTCGAGGTTGGAGATTTAGTAGGCCTACTTCTTGTCAACCTTTCTCACTTGTGACAATTTATTCCACTTTTTCCACACCATATACACGTCAAAGTAGCCTGACCAATTCTTCTCTATTTACCGATATAGGGCTGGTAAGTCCCATCCATCCGTAAAACGGACCCAATTGGACCCGTCAATGCAAGTGAATGAGAGAAAATAATTATTTTCTTATCCCGTTTGAATTGTGCCATGAATGTGAACATATGTTGTCTGTGAATTTTTTATATAATTTCTCATGTAACGAGTTTGACAGTATATTGTATGATTCTTTGGCTAGCAGTTGTGGAATAGACATAATGAGAAAGACTACACGTCGCTTATGTGACACATTTTCCCGCCACAAATCACGGTTTTCACCACGCTCAACTAGTTTGTCCTCTCCCTGAAAGAAGGCGGTGAAGTGCACCAGACACAGGCATGTTTAGCGGGATCCGTGTGCTAGTGGTGGTGACGTATAACAAAAACCTCAAAAGCAGCAACGAGTTGTAGTCCACAAAGTGCTCTCACACAAACTCTAACCGTATGCTAAATGTAGCATTCTTTACACAGAAAATTATACAAAAAATTCAGAGACAACATATGAAGAGTTCAGATGCAAAAGCCTCTAAGTGCCATTTGAAATTTTCTTCTAGAATGATAATTTTTATCAAGCTTGTATATTTAAGTTCAGTAATTTCACTTAAATTGCAATGAAGATTACCTAGTAATTTAAGTGAAATTACTGAACTTAAATATACAAGCTTGATAAAAATGATCATTCTAGAAGAAAATTTCAAATGGCACTTAGAGGCTTTTGCATCTGAACTCTTCATATGTTGACATTCATTGCAAAATTCAAACGGGATTAGAAAATAATTATTTTCTCTCATTCACTTGCATTGATGATTTTTCAACCTAGAGGTCCAGCGGGGTTAGGGGAAGGGTCTGGACACTTACTAGCTCTATGAGAGAAACGTACGGGAGACGTATCTACGTAAATTCCTGCGAAAACCATCTCTAGAGAGAAAGAGTTGCAACACTCCCATAGACCGCCAAGAACTTTGGAACGCGGAAGTAACGCGTGTCGTGGAGCAATATATCGTAGTTTTTGTCCGACTTCATTGATCTTGACTGACGGTACAAAAACTACGATAAAACCTGTTGGAAAGCGCTTTTTGTGTAAGCATTTCAGCGAACACCCCAGACCACTCGGTGAGTTTCACGTCTCTGTAAACTAAAGTTCAATGTTTATGAATGATTGTTCCAGTGCTCCGTGAATAAAGAGGTAACTTACATTTCCAATCTCACGACCAAATCGTGCGAATTCGACGCATGATTAACAAGTGTTTAATTCGTACTAATTCATATGACCTCACTCGTATGAATTAGTA